TGTAAACAATTCTTTGTATGGGACCATGCAGGGTGCACAGGAAATATAACAGGGTGCTGACAATTAAACAGGGCGTCAGATAACAGGGCGCGGTGCCCTGTAAAAACCCCTCGTGGAGAACCCTGGATACTAAATTGTTACAGCGCCAACAGCGGTGGGTGGCCGACGGTCGTTGAATGGGGTAGGCCAAAAGGTCACTAGTTTGCCTTTCTCCATGCTGTTTTCACGATGAAAATCGAGCGAACGTTGTAAATACATCTAGAATTTTTGTTCGAGTTTACATGCAATATGCTAATATATTTGTTTATTTTCTGTACATATACATTTCGTTCGTATTTAATTCTTTCTTTCGTGATTGGAAGACGATTATTAAAAATACAGCTGTAAATTGAAATCATTGTAGTTGTGTATTGTGAGCAATAAGTGGCAACAATGTCGGGCGACAATGAATTCAGACGATTGACACATTGCCATGAATACACTTGATAACTGCTTGCAGACTTCCAGTGGTCATTGTTTATGTTTGGACTCTTGAAACAATAGCAAAATAAAGGGTTGGGCAACTACTCTTTTGTTTAGGCTTGGGAAGAACAATGCAAGCTTTTCACAAATAATTTCAGCTGGATGTACGTTGGTGGGCGGGTGTTGAGAGTTACTAGGCGGCCGTAAAACTTGATGGCCCACCTAAAACCCCTTGTGGAGAACACTGCAGGTTAACTCACATTGGTGGTTATAACCAATTTGGTTGCCTCTAAAACCAAACCCAAGATGGCCTCTTGGGTCACTGATTTTCAATATTTTTTTACAGTGATTCTAATATTTCCACAGGATCACAGGATTCACTATATCTTTTGTAAAGCTACAACAGTGTTTATTTCAGGATTTAGTAATCTCATTATGAATAACAGAATAGTGAATTGGTGTAAAGTGTTGTGGGTTGGCCCTTAACTACTGGTCAGTCAATACATGCCTGTTCCCATGGTAATGTATAGAAGTCAGCCAATCAGTGATGACACATTATTCTGTGCCGACTACACAGTTACACAACAATTCATCCGATGATTCTTTGGTGATTTCAAGCTAGGTTTTACAGGCGACCATGCATGAGTTTGGTCCTTGATATCATATTCAAAGTTTGCCAAACTCAGTTCCTCAACAACGTACGGTAACCTCGAACATAAGTACTATTCAACACTGACCAATACAATAGTGGAAAGTGGTGGAGAACCAACTATTGTACATAGATTTTTTTCAGGTGGAATTAATTCCAAATTTAATTTTCTCTTCAGTAATGCTTTATGGGCAATCAATAAGGATTTGGGAAATAATACATCAAACCATGGAGGTAGAAAAGAGAAGGAGTGAGGACGCTATTTAAGCCCATGTTAATCTTATAAACATCCTTTGTTTTCGGTCTGGTTAAGCCACTTATTGTTTTTGTTTAGAAGTCGTTTTATCTACATGATGATAGCCGCTTATTTACACAAGAAAACGAGAGTAGAACTGGAAAAAATAAATTACGTTTAAACATCGTCTATAAAATTGAATGCGCAAACCATAAATACCAGAATTGTGCATGCGCAATGACCTTTATCGGACCACAAAGGTCATTTCACACTTGTAGATACCGGAAATTCTGCATACGGACGCTACCAAGATGTGTGCTTACTTCTTTTTGATATTTTTTATCGCAATAGTCGTCCAACTTTGGACATTGATTAAAAAATTCCGCAAATTTCCGCAGTGAAATTTAAAGATACATGATAA